CTATAAATTGGAAAATCTAATTAAATTTAATCTAACATTCCAGTATAATTAAATGGTCATAATTAGTAGGTTAAGACGCAAGCAAAGCCATTTAGAGTGGTTTGAAGTGAAATGTTGAATTGCTCACAGTAGTGGTGATAGGGACCAGACATCAGAAGCATTTCATGCATCTAGAAGTACCACTACATTACTTTTACCAACATATAAAACATATTACATATAGATTCTCAAGTCAAGTCAAGTCAAGAGGCTTTTATTGTCATTCCATCTATGTACAAGTACACAGTGGAGCGAAATTACTGTTCCTCCAGGAACAACACGGTGCAACAAGGAACAAAAAGTACAAAAATACAAAAGTATAAAGTGCGAACGTGCAGACAGTGTGCAAACAAGGATTAAGCTAGAAAACAATACAATAAATACAATAAATTAAACAGACATTAGACACAATTAACAGACCAGACAGTGTAGCACCGACACAGCACAGATTTCTGGACATGAGGTAGTGGAATAAGGTGCAGACATTTTTAACGTGATGTGATCTGTAAGTTACGTCAGATAACATACATATACATAACAGTTACAGAGGTAGTAAAACAATTACAAGTACTGAGTAGTAAAAGAGTTACTGAGGTAGTAAACAGTTACTGGGGTAGTAAAAACAGTGTAAACACAGCATTGGCAGCAATGTTCCAGATAGATAGTGCACGTAGAGCATCAAAAGAGGTGTGTATGAGTGTTTAGTTCAGTCCTCGTGAGTTTAAAAACCTGATTGCTTGAGGGACAAAGCTGTTGCTGAGTCTGGCAGTGATGGCACGGATGCTCTGGTACCTTCTGCCAGACGGCAGCAGTGAAAAAAGTCTGTGTGAGGGATGGATGGGGTCGTTCACGATGCTGGTGGCTTTGCGGATGCAGCGTGTGGTGTAGATGTCCGTGATGGAGGGGAGAGAGACCCCGATGATCTTCTCCGCCATCCTCACTATGCGCTGTAGGGACTTGCGGTCGTAGGCGGTGCAATTCCCAAACCAGGCGATGATGCAGCTGCTCAGAATGCTCTCCACAGTCCCCCTGTAGAAAATGGTGAGGATGGGAGGGGGGAGATGAACTTTCTTCAGTCTCCGTAGGAAGTAGAGGCGCTGCTGGGCTCTCTTGGCTATATTCTCTCCAATGAACTATTTCACACCAAACCACCCTAAATGACTGTTTACATATTAACAATTTGATTATGCACAAAGTTGCCACATTTAAACACAGCCTGGTAATCAGTTAATAATCCAACTAGTGGCTCAATTAGAATAGAATATCACCATGAATTGTCTGATTGAGGCCATTCTGAATGCAATTTCCTTCCAATTGAATAAGGTGGGTAACCCTGTAGATTATCTGTTAAATGTAGGAATAATGGCCGTGTAAACGATTATGATTACATCCTTAATTAAAGTTTAAAGTATTTTCTGTTTTTAAAACTTATCATGAGTTTGATCCCTGGTTACACTACAGCCTTCCGTAGCCAGGAGTCCAAGAGAGCACAACTGACATTGCTCTCTTGGGGTGGGTAGGATAGCCCCACCATCTCCCACCATCACCATTCTAGGGTCAGTGCAGGCAACTGTTAGCTGATGTAACAGAACTGGCAGTTAGCGCTCTCCTCCGAGAGATGTTGTGTTAGCAGCAGTTCGAAAAGAACGGTGGTGCTTTACAGGTCATAGAGGAATCCCATGCTGGCTTTCGCCCTCCTAGCGCTGGTGATATCATGAACTGTTTCTTTTGAGTTTAAAACACCAGAAAATATAAAATGTCCCATAATTTTGCTTGTTAAATTCAGCAAATAAGCAGCAATCATGTATTAAATTGTACAGAAGTGGGCCGTCTGTGGAGGGTGTGTGATATGACTTGGATATGATCAAATTGGGGAGAAAATAAAAAAAAAAAAATGTTAGCCAGATGGATAAAGCTTGGAAAAACAAGCTGTTCAGCAAATGAATGACAGTGGCTTTACATAAACTACAGAGTCTCAGAATGTTGCAGGACATGACGTCTTCCTCTCGGCCTTCTTTAATAAGTACATGTGAAGTATGTTTTTCTCAGTCTGACACAACTTTAAAGCAATTGGGCCAACTCAGGTAACACACCGTTTCTTTTCTCAGTCTGACTGGACTTGACCTGTTATTGCGCTTCTGATATACATTTTCACAAGATGTGACAAAATGTGCAATATTCACAGTGAATTTACAAGTGTTGTTGAAGTGAAAACAAGCACACTTTCTGCTAATTTGCATGCATTGTTTCTACTGAGTTTGAAATATCAGAAAATATAAAACGTGTCATAATTTTGTATGTTAAATTCAGCAAATAAACAGTAATCATGCATTAAAGTGCACAGAAATGAGCTGTCTGTGGAGAAGACAAAAGAGGATGTGTTGGAAATCAACAAAACATTCATATCCCTCTCACAGCCCTCGCTAACTTCAGCGTGGACATTTTCAGTGTGTTATAGAGGACAAATGGTTTTGATAACTTTGGTTTTGACCTTATAAAGTAGTACATTCAGACACCAGAAACTCTAAAACGCACTCCATTAACACACCGCAGCATGTTTTAATTTTGCAATTCGGTATGCCACAGCGCCTCTACGAACATACCGCCATTTATCTGAATGTCAGCTCCTAATGAGTGAGCGAAGATCCTGAGATACAGAAAGAAGGTCTATAATAAGCCGAGCCGCCGATAATTAACACAGGCTATCTGCTTTCACACAGTCAGAATCCCCTCCTGCTTCAGAGGAGACGACTATGTCAGCTTTGCTTTCAGCAGCGCGCCGGCACCCTCCTGCGCCCGCTGTTGAGGGTTTTGTGTGACTCCTGTTTTCCATTTTCACTCTGCAGCTGCCGCCGAACTGTGACCTACAGGGGGTGCTGTTTCCCCAGGGCACATAAAGGTGCAACATGAAAACTCAACCTGTCTTCCACCGCAGCCGTCTTCCACTTACATGTGGGTGTGTTTGGGAGGTGGTGTGTTTGTTTTTTGTACAATTTTCAGGACAAAAATGACTTTTTAGGGAAAAACAGGGGTAACTTACAGCGTCAGGACCAACTAAATGATCTTGATTTTGTGAAATGCTTTTTGCAGGAGATCCAGATTTCAAATTCTAAATCTGAAAGGACAAAACGGTTGGATTTGGGTTACTGAGGTTAAGGTTAAAGGCCTCATTCTCCAATATCATCTTAAGTTTTTTCTTAAATGTGTTTTCGAGGTCCTAAGAAAAAGTCTACGTCAGATGCATGATGTGTTCTTAAACCACAGAACCCATTTACACCTTTGTGCTCTTGAGTCCGTGTAGATTCTGCTCGTACCTAAGAACAAATCCCAAATAAGAAAATATTGGTGAATGTCAGAATCTTAAATACATCTCTTAAGAAACGGTTGGTGAATGAGGCCCATAGTTACGTTTAGGCATAGATGTTTAAACAGTGCTGTGCAAAAGCCAGAGATCAGTAAGTAAGTAAGTAAAGTTTATTTATATAGCGCTTTTTACAACAGGTGTTGTCACAAAGCAGCTTTACGAGGAAATGAGCATTACAAAAAGAAATCCGGGTCCGAGCCCCCATGAGCGTCGCCAGTGGCGACAGTGGCAAGGAAAAACTCCCTAAGAGAAACAGGAAGAAACCTTGAGAGGAACCAAGACTCAGAAGGGGAACCCATCCTCCTCTGGTCGACACCGGATAGTAAACATTGTTAGTATAAAGTATTATAGTACAAAAACAGGGTAAAAGGTGGGGCAAACAATTAATTTGTCACCCTTCATTTATTTAATTTTTAGTCAAAAAGGCCTTTTAATATTTTAAGTTTTGAAGAAATTAGATATATAATGATCCACTTGCATAAAGAAAAGGAAAGCTTACAGATAATAGGTTTAAAGAAAAGAGTTTCTAAAGCTGGAGTTCAAAAGATGATTTAATAGGGAAAATTGGACACCAGTGCAAGACCTGGTAGACCACCAAAACTGTCACCATCAAGATAAACAGTCCTTAAAGCTTCATCTTTGAGATATATGAGAAAATAAAGCTCATATAGCTGTATAGATGTTTCTGTCCAGCCTTTCACTATGAGAAGATACCCCAATGGGTCCAAAAGGATGTGTAACTGTAAGAAGCCCTTGCTGAAAAGCTTCCAGAACATTGATGAATAAAGCAAAGAAACTGATGGTCTTCTCAGAATAATGGACTGACCACCCCAGAGTCCAGACCTCAACATTACTGAATATGCTTGAGATTGTTAACACAACATGCAACCAACCTCTAAGACTGAACTTTGGAGATGTGGAAAAATATCCCTAAAAAGTTCTTTTAATAACTGAAAGCAAGTTTTCCAAAAAGAATGGAGGCTGTAATAAAAGCAAAGCATGGACAGACTAAATGTTGAAAAGAAATGAAATAATTTTTAGCTATCAAAACTTCAGTGTAGCTTTCCATTAAATATATTTTGTGTATGAGTTCCTTCTTGATGCTTTCAGATCGTTTGCGCACAGTGAATGGAGTTTTCTGCTTGTGTAATGCAAAGCTGAGAGAGGTCATCCAGTGTACTGATAGCTTCATTAAGAAACAGGCCACTGGCTAAGAGGCCACAGTCCAAATGAGCTTTTGTTCGTTGCTGATAAAAATGGACAAGGGCCTTTTTCACCATGCTGAGCTGATATTACATAGTAATGGTTTTGTATCACATTGGCATTTACACTGGGTTCAAAAGAAGATAACTCACATAGCCAAAAAAGAAAATAATAATAACCCTTTCCATTTTTGTACTGCCTTTCTTCACTCATGGTCGCTTTACAATTGCAGTTGGGAAAGTAGGTCAGGAGGGAGGAAGGTGAAAGTGTTGGGAGAAAAGGTAAGCTCTAAGACGACGGGAATGACGAGCGGTCATGGAGGTCCTGGGGTAAAAAAAATAAAGCTTTTTGGACGGTTAAGAAGAACTTGTGTTTGTGTTTGTTTCACTTTTAGGTATCATTAGGACGGCGCTAGCCAACATGGACAGAGAGACCAGAGAAATGTACTCCATCATCATCCAAGCCAAAGACATGGCCGGCTCGGTGGGGGGACTGTCTGGATCGACCACTGTCAACATCACTCTGACTGATGTCAATGACAATCCTCCAAGGTTTCCCCAAAGTGAGTGTCTGCTTGCTTACTCTTTTTGACAAAATACTTCAGCCTAAGGTTTATTTAACTTTGTAGTAACTCGCAAATGTACTTTACCCTGAGATAACAACCTCATTTTCCTCAATTTATGAAATATGAAATATATTTAACAACAGTGAATGGGTTAACAATGAAGAGAAGAGTTTGAAAAAAAAAAAGCCACTAAAAATCTTGTACTCTGTCAAACTGTCTTCAGGTAGCCATTTTAAAAACTCTTTCTAGTGTAGCTCTGCTTGTGGACAACATTTCTGCGCTGGACAGTTTCCCTCAGAAAAGCAGTTTTACATTACTCAAAAGTATAATTCACATATTAGAGGATAAAGTTAATTTATTTGTGTTTAATAATATATAAAGTATTTTATTAAGAAATTTCTTAAACATATCTGTTGCCTACAAGGAACATTGCCCAAGTAAAGCGTTACTTATGCAACCGCTTGAGAGAGCACTGCAGTTATCATTTATTTTTTATTTAGAATGATTTTTTTATTTAGAATTATGTTTGTGTTTTTGTTTATTTAGGGGAACGAACTTATTTAATATACAACATGCACTGAGCGACCACTTTATTGGGTACACCTCCTTGTGTCTACTCTCTTTGTCCATATTATCAGCTCCACTTACCACATAGGTGCAGTTTGTAGTTCAGTTACAGACTGTAGTCCATCTGTACCGCTGCATACTTTTAGCCCCCTTTTGCCCCAATCTTCAATGCTCAAGACCCTTACAGGACCACTACAGAGCAGGTATTATTTGGGTGGTGGATTGTTCTCAGCACAGCAGTGACACTGACGTGCTGGTGCTGTGCTAGTGTGTGTTGTGCTGGTGTGAGTGGATCAGACAGTTTTTAAACACCTCAGTGTCACTGCTGGACTGAGAATAATCCCCACCGACCAAAAATATCCAGCCAACAGCGTCCTGTGACCACTGATGAAGGACTAGAGGATGACCAATACAAACTGTGCAGTAACAGACGAGCTATCGTCTCTGATTTTACATCTACAAGGTGGACTGACAAGGTAGGAGTGTCTAATAGAGTGGACAGTGAGTGGACACAGTGTTTAAAAACTCCAGCAGCACTGCTGTGTCTGATCCACTCATACCAGCACAACACACACTAACACACCACCACCATGTCAGTGTTACTGCAGTGCTGAGAATGATCCACCACCCAAATAATATCTGCTTTGTGGTGGTCCTGTGGGGGTCCTTACTACTGAAGAACAGGGTAAAAGGGGGCTAACAAAGTATGCAGAGAAACAGATGGACTACAGTCTGTAACTGTAGAACTACAAAGTGCACCTATATGGAAAGTAGAGTTGATCAGTGTATGTGCAATATTAGAAGCCCATAACAGTCAAATCTGTCATATATCAGTCAACTAAAACACTCACTTCAGCTCAGGAAGGGCTTGTTAATCAGTGGATTAGTTAGACCAGGTGTGTTGGGAGCACTAAAAGGTGCAGGGCAGGGGGTCCTACAGGACAAAAGCTGGGAACCACTGCACTAGAGGGCTGATCTAGCCCAGTTATCATTACCAATTGAGGTCATCTTTTACTTCATTGATAGGTACTTTAACATATTTTGGATGACCATCAAACCTTTCACAAGTAAAATGTTTTGTGCCAAAATTCAGTCCCTGCACCATCACTCCAGGTATTTTTACCTACCTTTAACATTTCAACTTTTCTCAGCTTTTAGTGTTTTCAGACAAAGATGGGCAATTTGAACACATTTGCTCTAAATGTTTGTGTTCTGCTCCAGAGAACTACCAGCTGTACGTGCCGGAATCCGCTCAAGTCGGAAAAGCTGTGGGGAAAATCAAAGCCAACGACGAAGACCTGGGAATCAACGCTGAGATGGCGTACAGAATCACCAATGAGGAAGGGGCAGCCATGTTTTCTATCTATGCTGACAGTGACAAGAGGGAAGGGGTCATCTCTCTCAAAAAGGTATGATACCTTCACAGTCTTTATTCGCAGGTGCTTCAAAAGCATGGTGTTAATAAATATCAATTGTTTCTATTTAACAGGCAGATAAATTCTGTGGAAAATGCTAAACATTGAGTTGGAACAACATTTGTGTTTGTACATAGAAAAGGGTACTAAAAACAAACATCTTTTACATTTTTGATACATTTTTGTTATTTCTTCAAACTTTGTGACTCAAACCTGTCAATACAGAATGAAACTAGAATGAAGATGTAATTCACTAAGTAGTTAACTATGTAATTAATATATAACTACTATATAATTACATTACAACACTGGAATAGTATTGACGAATGAAAGTAATAACTCCAAACTTCTAAGGATTTAAGGGTTAAACAAGAGTGCTCAAATATGACTTTGAGGGTTTTGCAGCTGAGTGAGTTCTTACTTTTTCAGTCAGACACATTCATCATTTTGCCACCTCTATTCCTTGCAGCCATTGGACTATGAGAAAAAGAAGGCCTACTCATTAAACATAGAGGGCGTGAACACACATCTGGACCCTCGATTCTTCCACCTGGGCCCATTCAAAGACACCACCACCTTGAAGATTATCGTTGGGGATGTAGACGAAGCTCCAGTATTCACCATGGATTACTACATCATGGATGTGTATGAAAATGCTCCGGCCGGAACAGACGTCGGCATGGTAACGGCTCAAGACCCCGACAATGCCAGGGGCAAAGTTAGGTGAGAGCTGAAGCAAGCCAGCGCTAGTAATTAAGTAGTTAATTCACTGTGATATGTGGCGTTCTGGTCCATTTTATTTTTATTTTTCTCTAATGTATGGAGAAAAAATAGCATTAAACTTACAACACATCCCTTGAAAGGTGATATTTCCATTCCTTCCGAGTGCCTTGACAGAATGGTTCTCAATCCTGGGGGACGCACCACATTGCATAGTTTAGTGTTTTCCCTGCTGTAGCACACTGTGCTCAAATTACTAGCTAATTATGAAACCCCCCATGAGCTGAATCAGGCACTGCTGTCATGCGAAAGCAGATAGACTTACGGTACAGTGTTCAGAGTATTGCACAGGGAATCGCCTTCACATAATTTAAAAGACCACAAAAAAGAAAACAGAAATAACTATTTAAAAAAAAATGCTGCTCATATGGATCTTCTATCAACACATTAGCTGTACTAGCTTATTCAGCACAGCTGTTTAAAATATTCAGCACTTTCAAGGCCTCTACCCTCTTTCAACATGAAAAGCCAATTAACGAAGAACTGTTATCTGTTTACACTCAGAAAACCCTCAAGCGATTTGCCTGTCCATCACCTCTTCCGTGAACCAGAGTTATGATCCGTCATATCAAAACTCTTCGGTCCTCTAATTGCAGGTATTCCATTGACAGCAGTGTGAACGGAGAGTCACTTTTCAGCATCGATGCCAACAGCGGACTCATTAAAACCACCGCAAGCTTGGATCGAGAGGCAGTAGCCTGGCACAACATCACTGTTAAGGCTTCAGAGGTTGGTAAGTATGGCTCCGTGGCCAGAATCCTATCTATGCCAATCAATTTTGCATGGGAGTTTGTGAAAAAGCCACTCCTAAAAATACAGGTGCTGGAAAGGTTCTTCGGAGCAATGCCATAGAAGAACCACCGTTCAGTTCATTGTCGTTCAAAGATCTATTTTTGAAGAATGAAGAACCATTTGAAAATGCAGAAAAACACATTATATAAGGTCCTACATCAGTTGAACATTGTTCTTAGAACCTGTTTGTCTAAGCCAAGGACCATTTTTGGCTCACTGAAGAACCTTTCAATGGATGGTTCTTAAAAACACCCTTGTTATAAATGGGAGGGTGAAGGATTTTTTGCAAGTGCAGAGAACCACATAATACAAAGGTTCTAAGTTTTTTCCTAGAATATGTACATCCAAGCCAAGAACCACATATGGCTCTTTGAAGAACTTTCCTTTAATGGTTCTTTAAAGAACTGAGATGTGCAACAGCGGAAAACTTTCATAAAGTGTAAAGGACCACATAATATGACGAGTATGTGTCAGTTTAAGGTTTTCTTCCTAGAACCTGCACATCCAAGCCAAGAACTCTTGTGGAACCTTTCAGTGGGTCGTTTTTAAAGAACCTTGTGAATGAGATGTGTAAGAATCTTTTGAAAATATGAAGAACTACATAAGATAAAAGGTTTGTATTAATTCATGGTGTTTCCTAGAATCTGTATGTCCAAGTCAAGAACCAAAAGTTCTTGGAAAACTTTTCAACACATGGTTGTGAAGTGTGGATGAGTGTGAAGGACCTTTTTAAAATTTAACGAACCTCCACACAATCAAGGTTTTAGCCTTGTACATAAAGTACAAGCCAAGAACCATTTAGGAACCATTAAGAGAATTTTGAACCAAGACCTAAAGAGATCCATCTCATCCAGGCTGAAGATACACAGCTGCAATTACAATCATAGATATTGACCACAGCAAATGAGAAGCATTGCATTGTTGGATTGATGTTGTTGCTGTAGGTACTGTGGAGGTTTGATTGAGGCAGACAGGGTCAATTGATTTCTCTGTCTCTTTTTTCCTTTCTTTTGCTTATCTAAGTAATTACCCTTTTCTTCATCCCATTCTTAGCAACAGTGTTGGCTAATGAGTTGAAGCTGCCCATTGATAGCATCAGCAGACACAAAGCTGATAGCGATCAATCACCATTAGTAATCCACATGTGATTAGAGATAGTCCACATATTGGTCTAGCCAATATTTTTCACTGATATTCAGCGTTTTTTTTTTCAGAATATCGGCTGCATCAGTTATCAGCTCCTTGACGGAGATACCATTTAGAGTTGAAAATGCTTAGCCTCCAGGGTTCATATAAATGTAATCTTAGAGAGCTCCACTGCTTCGTACTATTCTGAAATATTCATGAAATTTACATTCAAACAGGCACAGTCTGCTTTTCCGTTCTCCTCTAAACCAGCATCCCGTTTGTTCGTAGACTCCTGCGGCTGAATTCATATGTAAAACCCCAGAGAGGGGGTTTGGCTGGGTCCTGTAGCACTGCAGGAAAAGAGGGGCTGTTTGCATAGGTTTCACCATAACAATGCCACCTAAGCAACAGATAGCGAAAGCTATGCAGTGCCTAAGAACAGATCTAGGGATGAGTAAATCAGGAATGGTTAGAGTAGACAAAATATTTTAAAATGTTTAATCCAAGTTGGTTAATTCAACTATAGTCTGTTTCCTAAGTTCCTAATATGGTCCCCAAAGCTTTTGCCTCATTTACTAAACTTGCCCAAACCTCTGAATGATTACAGTCAAAATCCCATAAATTGAACTGTTGTGTCTTCATATATCGGTTTATTTTATATGTGAAGAGTAGGAAGAGCTGTATGTTTGCATAGAAAGAGCTGTAGAAATGACTCTCAGGGCCAGAAGGTGCCTTTTGCACCAGACACGCTCTCACTGTATTGAGTTTGAAAATGGCATTCAAGTTTAAATATTCAATTTGTTGCAGAAAAAAATGGGTGGAGCAGGCCCATACACAAGAACTGGGGGTAGGGCCTGAGCCCCTGCACTTCTCCTTTCAGACTGTATAGGTGCCCTCTTGGCTGGTATGGTAATTGTGTTTTATATGGCCATTCCTTAGAATTCATTTACACAAAGCTCATCACAGCCTCGCATCGATAATAATGCTAATGGGTCTGTTTGGGTTCAACAAGCTTTATTACTCTTAAGCGCCTTCTGTAGTGCAGTACCCTGTACCTGTGGAGGTTTTACCGCAGGAACTCTGATCTGCACACATCATCACAGTGCTAAACATTCCCACAGACAAAGCACCTATGCAAAGCATCACAGCACAATTAAAGAAATGTCGACTTGCAAAAAGTTTTTGATATTGAAAAATACAGATTTTTTTTGTGAGGCTGGGTAGAGTTCACTCACTGGCTCATAGCAAATAGATAATTAAGTGGGTAATGATGGAGAGAGGGGTTCCAGTCCTCGCTCAGACAGTAATACGAATATTCTATCCTGTCTTTGGGACAAATGTTTAACATTATATTTATTTTCCTCTGAAGCATGGCTAAATTGGGCAATATGCTACAAATTATTTAAGGTTTAATTCACATTCACCTTGCCCCTGCTCCCCAAACTGGGATGGAGATGCTGGAAACATGCAATGTGATTACATATGTTGTTAGATTTACTGAAAGTTTGCTACAATTATAGTACATTAAACAGTAAATGTAGATGCATCACCAACTCATAGTGAACCTGCAGGAATTTTTGTTACTAAAGATTTGCTGAAGTTACTAATAATTTCAAAGGATTTGCTAAAATTACGAAAGATTAGCTACAGCCATAGAAAATTGAACAGCCATTTCAGATGCATCGCAAACCCATGTTGCAGTCGTATTAAGGTTATACATTCTTGCTAAAGTTATTAAAGATTAGCTTGGGACATCAAATGTTAGCTGAAGTCACAGCAGCAGCTGCATCAAGTTTCTAAAAATTGACTAACTTTGCTAAAGATAATGATTAGGTTAGTCTTGAAATTAATTTCAGACATCAATTTAAACAATTTTTGCTAAAGATTTGCTAAAGTCACTAAACATTAGCCATAGCCTTAGTAAACTGAACAATTTTTGCTAAAGTTATTAAAAAAGTTATTAAAATCGTACTAATGTAAATTTGCCAAAGTTACTTAAGATTAGTCAATTGACTGGTAACTTCAGACACATTTCCAGCTGACACTGCAGCTGCATCACGTTTCTGAAAATCAGCTAAAGTTACTAAAGTTTACTGCCTTTGTAAATAGTCAGTTTTAGATGTATGGCCAATGTATATTCCGGCCTTACATACATTTTCTAAAATGCTTATCCTACCGGGTCGCGGGTGGGTTGGGAGGAGTTGCTGGAGCCTATTCCAGCGGTCATTGGGCAGACGTCAGTATACACCCTGGACAGTTAATGAATTTTTGGTAAAGTTGCAGATTAGCTGCAGCCTCAGTCAACTGAACAGTAATTTCTGATGCGTTGCCAACTCACATCACAGCTGCATCAAGTTACTAAAGATAGAGTAAATACAGATAATGGCCACATCAATTTGCAAAATGTTTGCCAACGTTACTTACAGTACTAAAGATTAGCTAAAGTCACGAAGGATTAGCTACAGACCTAGTAAACTGAACAGTTAGATGCAATTCCAACTTATAGCTGCATCAAGTTTCTACATTTTGCTCAAGTGACAAAATTTTTGCTGACATAATTTTTGATTTGCAAAAGTTACTACAGATTAGCTAGTTACTAAGGATTAGCTACAGCCATAGTCAACTAAACTATCATTTCAGACAGCAGTTCAAAGTGCAGCTACATTAAGTTTCTAAAGATCAGCTAAAGTTACTAAAGACTGGCTACAGCATTTGTCAATTGTAAATTGTCATTTCAGTCATTTTAGATGCATCGTTTATGAATATTGTGGTCATATCAAGTTAATGAATTTTTGCTAAAGTTACAAAAGATTAGCTAAAGTTACTAAAGATTAACTACATTCTTGGTCAATTAGTAATTTCAGATGCATTGCCAACTCGTATTATGGCTGCATGAGGTTCCTGAAGATTAGCTAAAATTACAAAATATTAGCTAAAGTTACTAAAGATTAGCTAAAATGACAAAATATTAGTTAAACTTACTAAAGATTAGTTGTGATCTTAACTGAATAGTAATTTCAGGCACACTGGCAACTCAAATTATGGCTGCAAACTATTTTGCCAAATATACTAAAGAGTTGCTAAAGTCACTGAAGATTTGCTAAAGTTGCTAAAGATTAGCTAAAGTCTTTTTCACTTAAATAGTATTTTACCTTGCCAACTCATCATGGCTGCATAAAGTTATTAAAGACTAGCTAAAGTAAATAAAGATTAGGGAAAGTTATTAATGATCAGCTGAAGTAAATAAAGATTAGCTAAAGTTACTAATGATCAGATGAATAAATAAAAATTAGCTAAAGTTACTAATGATCAGCTAAAGTAAATAAAGATTAGCTAAAGTTACTAATGATCAGCTAAAGTAAATAAAGATTAGCTAAAGTTACTAATGATCAGCTGAATAAATAAAGATTAGCTAAAGTTACTAATGATCAGCTAAAGTAAATAAAGATTAGCTAAAGTTACTAATGATCAGCTAAAGTAAATAAAGATTAGCTAAAGTTACTAATGATCAGCTAAAGTAAATAAAAATTAGCTAAAGTTACTAATGATCAGCTAAAGTAAATAAAAATTAGCTAAAGTTACTAATGATCAGCTGAATAAATAAAGATTAGCTAAAGTTACTAATGATCAGCTAAAGTAAATAAAGATTAGCTAAAGTTACTAATGATCAGCTAAAGTAAATAAAGATTAGCTAAAGTTACTAATGATCAGCTGAAGTATATAAAGATTAGCTAAAGTTACTAATGATCAGCTGAAGTATATAAAGATTAGCTAAAGTTACTAATGATCAGCTGAAGTATATAAAGATTAGCTAAAGTTACTAATGATCAGCTAAAGTATATAAAGATTAGCTAAAGTTACTAATGATCAGCTAAAGTAAATAAAGATTAGCTAAAGTTACTAATGATCAGCTAAAGTAAATAAAGATTAGCTAAAGTTACTAATGATCAGCTGAAGTATATAAAGATTAGCTAAAGTTACTAATGATCAGCTGAAGTATATAAAGATTAGCTAAAGTTACTAATGATCAGCTGAAGTATATAAAGATTAGCTAAAGTTACTAATGATCAGCTGAAGTATATAAAGATTAGCTAAAGTTACTAATGATCAGCTGAAGTATATAAAGATTAGCTAAAGTTACTAATGATCAGCTAAAGTAAATAAAGATTAGCTAAAGTTACTAATGATCAGCTAAAGTAAATAAAGATTAGCTAAAGTTACTAATGATCAGCTGAAGTATATAAAGATTAGCTAAAGTTACTAATGATCAGCTGAAGTATATAAAGATTAGCTAAAGTTACTAATGATCAGCTAAAGTAAATAAAGATTAGCTAAAGTTACTAATGATCAGCTGAATAAATAAAGATTAGCTAAAGTTACTAATGATCAGCTAAAGTAAATAAAGATTAGCTAAAGTTACTAATGATCAGCTAAAGTAAATAAAGATTAGCTAAAGTTACTAATGATCAGCTAAAGTAAATAAAGATTAGCTAAAGTTACTAATGATCAGCTAAAGTAAATAAAGATTAGCTAAAGTTACTAATGATCAGCTGACGTATATAACGATTAGCTACAGCCTCAGTGTTTGATGGTTGTGTTTTTTTCAGACAATCCAAAGCTGGTCAGCTACGTTCCAGTCACAGTTCAAGTCCTGGACGTCAATGACAACACGCCCTACATTCCTACTGACCAGGACATCATTGTGTGTGAGAGTTCCAAGCCAGGCCAGGTTAGTTATCTCTGCCGGATTTCCTTTTTGTGCTCTCTTTGAGCTTCTCCTCTAAAATTCCTTCTCTCCTATCGTACTCCGTTTTGTACTTCGTTTCCCATTTCTGCTGGTTCCTTTCTTCCTCCTCGCGCTATCTCTGAACCTTTTACCTCTCTACTGTCTTACTTCTATATGCACACACATACACGAGCGCTATCCGTCCCTTTATGACACGTCTGACACCATCGGGGTTGGATTTATCTGTGGCTCTGCAGACTTGGAAGCCTCTTGAATCCATAAATTATTCAGCATATACAGGATGTCTTCTGGAGCAGATATCGGGCCCACACTGCACTGAGCCCACTGGGGCCAGCTTGCAAGAAGTGTTAATCATCGCTCTTTCCGATAGGAGCCGTCGCGCATCAAAGCGCGGCCTCTACCGATTCACATCGTGCCCGTCCTCTTATATTTCTTCCCAACTTGAATGAAGATCACTAAACGTGGAGGATGTGCTGAGCATAGAGACATGATGCATGTCTGGATTAAATTTCTGGAGGCCTCTCGAAGCGCTGCGGCCAGAAAGGCACTGCAGGTGAAAGCCGGGTCCAGTTTGGCTAAAAACATGATAAATTATTCTTCCACTTCTCCTGCGGATAAATGGCGTCTGTAATGAATGGAAATAAACCGTTGCTTTGTTTAGCACTGAATTGAGAGTTATTTTAAGAGGCCATACAACATTGTTTTAAATACATGCTGCTTTTTTTCCCTCCAGCCGAGTAAACTCATTTACATGCTGTGTGTATTATCACTATTATGATAAATTACATTTAGACACATTTTTCTTAGTATTTGATGGGTATCGTTAGTACTTCTAGAACACTGAACAACAAAATACACATTTAGACAAATTGTAGAGAGTAAACAACAACAACCAGTGTGTAGAAACGGCACAACAGCAAATAGCGGATTGGTTGTTAGCCCATTATGACATCATCTTATTATATTAATTTAATTGTACTAATTGTTTGATATTTTCTCCTGTGCCTTCTTAAAATATTAACCTTTGCAAATATTAAATCAAAACCTGCTATTGTACTCTAGTGTGAAAATCTTAAAATATTGCATTTTATTTTTCATATCGCCCATCAATGATTCATACCACAGTTACATATTGTGTAACACAAAAGTGTCTTCAAGTCTTGTAATGTTATATATTTGCCATATCGCCCATCCTCTATATTGTATATCATGTAAATATGAAGTATGACATTGACATTGCATTTAGCCATATCACCCACCCTGTTTAGATATCTTTGACTATCATATTATATTTTTGACATGATCTCCTACTTTCACTTCAAAAAATCATATTGTTATATTTTTGCCATTATCTCATGTTTTAACTTAAAAAAACTGTAGTTTTATTTTTGTCATTATCTCCTATTTTCACTTGAAAAAAAATACTTAAACAATTATATTATTTTATTTTTGCCATATTCTCTGACTTTTACTTCAAAAAATTATATTGCTATATTTTTACCATTATCTCTTACTTTCACATCAAAAAATTATTTTGTGATATCTTTGCCATTATCTCCTATTTTAATTTTAAAAAATATTTTGTTATATCTTTGCTATTATCTCTTATTTCTATTTTTTTTAAAAAATGTTGTTATATCTTTGCCATTATCTCCTATTTTTACTTAAAAATTATATTGTCTTATTTTTGAGATTATCACCTACTTTTACCTTAAAGAATTATTTGGTTATATTTTTGCTATTGTCTCTGACTTTTGCTTCAAAAAATTATATTTTTTTATATTTTTGCCATTGTCTTTGACTTTTACTTAAAAAAAATATATACTTTTTGTCATTATCTCTGACTTTTACTTCAAAATATATTATATTTTTGCCACAATCTCCTACTTTTACTTTAAAAAATGATGTTTTGCCATTGTCTCTGAATTTTACTTAAAAATTATATTGTTATATTTTCGCCACAATCTCCTACTTTTACTTCAAAAAATGATATTTTTATATATTTTGCCATTATCTTAGATTTTAACTTCAAAAAATGTTATTGTTATATTTTTGCCATTTTGGCCACTCTTACTTCAGAGAAACAGAATATCATGATAACATATCATGTATCGTGTAAATATCAGGATCCAGCATTGAGCGAGTCACAGACTATAAGCCTTGGTTGGCATTTGACTGGATGATAAACTTTAATTTAAACCTCACATCAATAAACTAGTCAATCAGTGTAAGCAGAGGCTTGGATTCCTTTAAATCCATAAATCTTGTTTGCCTATGTGAGCCAGAATAAGAGGTGTGGGGGCAACCTTACTATCAGCCCTGGTTTACAGCCATGTAGTTTATAGCCAGCACCCTCAAATCACTCGACTCACTCTGTCACTCCACTTTGAGATTCATTACTAGTGACCTGTGCAGCACTTACCACTGTAGCCTGAATGAGAAAGTTGGTCCTCATTAGCAGCAAAACAGAAAACAATATTTTTAATTAGTCTCAGGCCAAGTGACAAATTATATCACATCTATGATCTCTATAAATAGTGGTAATTTTCAGATTCGCTTTAGTGACTGGATCACCTGTCGCGCAGAGTTTTACTGAACTGGTAAATCTGCTTTTAGCTACAGAGAACCAGTGAGCTGGAATTCACTACAGGAGTCTCTCTCGCTGGTATCTCTGATTTTTTTAAGCTTCTGTTCTGTAGCTGCCATCAGACAGCCTGCAGCCTTTTTTGCCTTTTCTCCTTTTCATTTAATTCTTTTATTTTTTCCTAATTGTTTTATTTTATTTTATCTTATTTAGCTGATAAAATATTCATTTCCTTATTGGATCTTAATCCTATCGCTGTTTTCATTTTATTACTTTTTACATTTTTTTTACTTTATTGTTTCAAAGTTTAGTGGGTCTTAATTTTCCTTTTAAAGCTGAATTTTATTATTTGGTTTTAACTGCCGTGTCTTGGCTTTATTTAATTGTTCCCCTTCTTTATCATATCCTAGTTGTTCTCCTATTTTATCCATTTATCTTCTGTTAATTTCAGTTTACACTGATTAAATATCATTTTAATATCTTTTCAATCCCTTTGCACTATAAATGCTCAGCTGCATTGAAAATGAGGGCCAGCCTGAAGGTATTTCTGAGTAAAAATAGGTAAAGGTTGATTTACAGATTGATAGGATATCAATAGTGTTGCTGTATCGCCCATCTTGAACAAAGTTAAATATCATAATGTCAAAATATCTTCAAATATCATGACATAACATGCTTGCCATATTGCTCACCCCTGCTGCAGAAAAATGAAATACTATGATAAATTTTGTTAATCGTGAATTTTTTTTTTTAAGTATCATGATGTTATATCTTATGCCATATCGCCCACCCCCACTTCATCCTAGTCCAGACTAGCATTGACAAAAAATCAAGAGGTGTCTGGGTCTCTGAAAGCCTTGACAGTGGACAGCAGAGGCTGACATGTCCTGGAGCCCTTATTATAAGTGGGAAGAGCTCAGATACACAGCGTGAGATTGAGTCTGAGCGAATGTGAGACGTCCTGACGAAGCCCCCGCCGCTCTCATCGGGTGTCCCCACACCGACAGGTGAAGATCTTCAATAATTGGTCCATCCCAGGCATGAGGAGCGCTTTTTCTCGCTCGCTGCTGATCCGCTGGTGGGGGCCAATTAGGTTAACAAGCTGACAAAACATCACGGGGACGAGCGTTGCTTGAAGCCAGCATGCATCCGCCGCCTGTGATCCAGCAGCCCTGCTGGGCCGAGCGCCGCATGCACGGAGATGCGAGCCAGAACCCGACGCCCCTCCAACTGAGGAGCAGGCAGAGAGGGGCAGGTAGTGCTGTGAGACTGGAGAGAGAGAGCAAAACGATAAAACACCACTGAGATCTTTAATCTGATTCCATTTCTTGCTCATTTCAATCCTTTATTTAGTAGTTAATTGTCTCTGCCTGTCTCTCTCTCTCTCTCTCTCTCTGTCTCTTCTCTCTGTTTTTTCTCCTTGTAAAACTTCCTCTCTTTTTATTTCTGATTTCTTTTTTCCTCTCTCTCTCTCTCTCTCTCTCTCTCTCTCTCTCTCATTTCCCCTTATATCCTGTCTTTTTTCTTTCAATCGTACGCTCTCTCTTTCTCTTGCTCTCACTAATACTCTCTCAATTTTTGCCTCTCTGCCTCTTTCTGTCTCTCTCCCTCTCACTTTTACTCTCTCTCTCTCTCTCTCCTCTCTCTCCCTCTCTCTCTCTCTCTCTCTCTCTCTCTCTCTCTCTCTCTCTCCCTCTCTCTCTCTCTCTCTCTCTCTCTCTCTCTCTTTGTACAGGTCATCCAGACCATCAGGGCTACAGACAAAGACAACTTTGCCAATGGACGCTTTTCTTTTGCTCTGCCAACTGACCTGCAGGCCAACCCGAATTTCACCCTGAAGGACAATGAAGGTATAAATATGAGAACAGGTTGTGCTTTGAGGGACTTTGCGACAGCTAATTTTTCATAACTGAAAAATCGCAGCTGCAGTGTGCTGTCATTGTTGATAATATAATTTCAGCCTCTAGCATATAAATGCACCTGCATGATAAGCCTTATGTGTTTTGTTCACACTTTACCTTTATTACAGCTCTCATTCTTCTCATGAGACTCGCTTCAAAAGACATCCACAGGGGTATTTTTCCACACGTCTGAAGTTCAGTCTTAGAAGTTGGTCGCACTTTCTTCCTCCAATGACCCAAATAATCCCAAACACATTCAATGACGTTGAGGTCTGGGCTCTGGGGTGGCCAGTCCATTGTTCTGAGAACAGCAGCAGCTTCTTTGTTTCATTCGCAAATGTTCCCTTGTAATGTTGCAAATTTGCTCAAAAATCTCAGTAACAGCTTTTAGACACTTTGAGTTGTCTTCTCACAGTGGACAGAAACACCTGTAAATTCTGATCTAGGTTATCTAATGATGACAGTTTTGGTGGTCTACCAGGTCTTGAGGGTGGTTGTTAGGAACCCCATTTTCTCTATATCTTTTAACTTTGATTTAGGAAACTCCTTTGACTTTCTCTTTCAATAAACAAGTGGATTATCTTGTAACTAATCTCTTTGGAAATAACTTCTATTCCTATGGTCATTTTGACTAGAAATTCAGTACTAGAAAGGTGGCCTGTGACTTTTGCACAGTACTGTGAAGCACACTCCCATTTCAGTTTAAAATGGCAAAGTTATTGGCTTCCATTTGTTATGCAATATCAAATAAGATCCAGAAAAGCCTCTCTCTGTGCGAATCTCGATAATAGAATTTGCCTCATGAGAGCTGAATTTCCTCATCTTTGCTCCAAGCAAACCACCAGCGCCTCAAGACAAACATATTTAGCATCATGTGTTGTTGTCACATGGATCTTGCTCATTCTCTGACCCCGCCCCCTCTCCACTCATCCCACCTCCCATCCCCCAACCACACTCTTCTAATATCAAAGAGAGGCCAGTGGTGCGGTTGCCCAGGAAACCAGGTCTGTGTCTATGTTAGCTCAGGGCTGTCTGCTGGAGATGGTCAGACTGTAATGATTCATCTCCAGAAAAGCAGACTGCTCCTTTGGAGGATAGAGGGGGTAGAAAAATGGGGGGCTTCAGGTGGACTATGTGGGTTTAACAGCACGATCTGGGGGATCAGAAACAGACGCTAAGAAACCCAGAGACCCCTGAGCTCTGCTGTCAGAGCTTTAGAGCTTTGCTTCGGTTTGTTTCCTACAGCCTAAGCCAAGTTCTCCCCTCAGGCTTTGCTCTATCTAAATAACATCCCTGTGGATGGGTCATTACAGAGGCGTTTATGTGCTGGGGACTGGACTGTCTGTTTCATACTTCAGCAAAGATGCACACATTTATGTCCATATGCCAAGATTTATAAGTAATCACGGAGAGAGGGTCTAACATGCACTCGGCCTGGGAAATAGAATAATATAATGGGATATTGGCAATGATTGACAAGTAATGCTTCAAAGGTGACGTTTGAAAGAAAACGGACACAGAGCTATTTTAAATAGCTTGTTTAATAATTTTAAATATGTACATGCAATTTTTTATTCACTTTTACTGTTAAAACATCAAATTATTTTGTGACATTAAAAATCTGTTAAGTTACAACAGAGCAAATGATTCATTGTCTGCTGTGCATTCAGAGGAAAATCCAAAGCACTTTTCACAGTAAGTGTCCCGATGGTTTAGGTGAGTTGCAAAATGATGATAATGTAATACTGTATGGTTTCCCACAGGCATCTTTAAGTGCATTCCAGAGCATCTCCACTACAGGGACATGGCTTTGGATTTTACTCACTCGTGCAAGTTTAGCAGTCTGAAGTTTCTCCACAAGGGGGAGCTATTAACACCCTTTTTTTTCGGTGTGTGGTTTAAAGAGAAGAAACAGACCTACTACTAATGTTGGCTGAATATGATCAGTACCTAACAGCAATGTTCAAACATCTAGCAAAAAGCCTTTGCAGAAGAGTAGGGGCTGTTATGAAAGCAAAGTGAGGGCAAACGTCATATTTTCTTTTGCTTTAGGTATAAACTTTTAATGAGGATCTTTTTAAGATATGTAGTGAAGCACAGTTGTGAACCCAGACCACTAGATCTAGGCCATTAATTTGACATAAATATCAAAAACCAGTCCAAAAAAACACCAACGCTTCACAACACTAACTTCTGCTAGTGTCCCTATGGGACACTATATATAAATATAACAAATATTAGTTTCTTGGTTTGAAGTTTTAGATCAAGGGTTCACAACATGCAACTCTTTTACTGCCCTGTTGCAGCTCCGTAGCAGAACTGCATTTTTAGGTTAAAATAAAAAGATCCTCCTTTACCGTAAAATAAAGCTCTGCTGATCGTTCAAACACAGTTTTAATAATAAATGGTCTTAAAAACTTGAGTTAATGTATAACTGCTTATTCATCCTTTAACCCTGAAGTTTGGCGTGCAGAATGCTGGTCACCATAGCAACGCAGACAACAATCTCGCCTAGCTTGTAGCTAAAAAGATGGAGAGAAAGATTTAAGATGAACGTTGCTAATTTAGAAACGAATGCACTTTTGCAATCACTCCAGCTTGTTTCTCTATATGTTCAATCTGCAACTAGAAACTGTCAAACACTAAAAAGTCACGAAGCTGAAGTCAGTTTCTCATTCGCCAGTTTCTTGTTTGAATTTTTCTGTTCCACCTTAAATGGTGCAGCAGTTACATCCTGGCGCCTCAGGCAAGTGACATTTTACAAGGAACTGTTCTACTTTTGTAAAAGTTTCCTACCGGAGATGCGAGAAAATTGGCTATAGCTGATCTAAAGCTTAAAGCAGAGCAAAGTAAGTCTGCATTTTCATTTATGTTATGTTTTTTGGCCTATACTAGTACATTAGCACATACTGTGATGTATTTACAGCCATGATGGTAAAATTTGACAGAAAATGTTGCGGCTCCCAAGCTGGTTCGATTTTCATTGAAAGGACAAAATGGCTCTTCGTAATTTCATATTATCTGAATTTTTTCTTAGCACCTAAAGTCCTGACCAACAGGCGTGCTCACTTAGCTATACTTACCCAGATAACCATGGAGAAAAACAAATCCTAATAGGCCAATATTCCACTGAGTGGTTCAAGAATTTAAACTTTTTGTTCCCATCCAAAACTTGTGAAACAAGAATAGTACTGAAATACTTGCAGAGCCTGATTTTATTGAATAAAAATAAAAAATAAACATTATAGCCATGCATGTTTTACTTCCTAGAAATCATCAAGCCTTCTCTGAAGGCCTAGAAGGCCCTAAGGATTCCCCACTGGTATAGCTGTAGCTAGCTATGTGAGCTAGCTCCATGTACATGTAATCTGATATACTGAGTTAAAGATCAGTGCGTATCATTAAAAGGTTGATTGGGTGGACAGTGAAGTCAACTCAGGTACCGTTAACAAAACAAAGCGATGCATGAGCCATAAGAGCGGTGTTCACATTTGTGCATGCTTCAAAGTGAAAGAGCCGTGAAAGTGGCCCTGGTGGGCGAAGGAAGCGGCGGCTGTATAATTGCACGTGGGCTCCTTTGTGAGCCTCTGCAAGCTACACCTACCCATAAACTTCTCTGCGTCTGTGTGCAAATAAATGTGTATAAATCAGCCTTTAGGAGGCACCTCTCAAAAGCCTGACCCAAGTGCTGATTGGCTCAAGAACCCCTCAGTCTGCAGATTGGATGAGAGCGTAAGCTGTTTCGTATTGGATCGCTGAGGCGTCTCACTGCAGTGACTGGAACTGTGTCATGCGACTGTGCGGCTTGCCAGCGCCAAGCATGGGAGGTGGCAAAACAAATTGGATTGCAATTCCCCCCGGAAGAATTCATTCCTTTTTCTCGTTCAGAGAAAGGCAGTGGGTGTTCAAATTGGCTTAAGTTGGTGTGGATTTTATATGCTGTGGCATCAATAATATCGGGAATCTAGGAGGTGTACCATTAGTTATGTTTTTGCTCCTGTCCCCTGATGGATGTGGTAATATGGCCCCGGTTAGAAGGGCAGATTATGTCATAAGCTCTTGGCCCATGGCTGGACTCACACATGTGTGCGTCTCAGCTGCCATGCTGGCCTCGTTATGTGACGAGTGTCCCTCCCGGGCCTCCGTCCGCGCCACGCTCCCTTCCCAGATATCCGCGGCTTTATGCATCATCTGCTGGCCCCAGCTCTCCCTCTTAAACTCTCGCATTAGGCTCGAGCTTCAGCCATAGCAATCAGGAACCGAGCCAGAGCTGCAGATACTCACTGTCCACCGGACCACACATCTCACACTGAAGATTAATTACATCTGCAGTTTACGCACACTCGGTTCCCATGGCGATTTGCGGGAAATGTGTCTATGATTCACTGTCGCTTCAATGAAGGACCTGCTAAGAATGCTCCATACTTGGAGTTATTAATGGAATGCACTTATTTTCACAAGATGCTCTTTTTCCTTTGCGCATTGGAATGTTTGTGCTGTATATATTGTGGCCAGTTATTAACCCATGAAGTGCAGGCTTAATCTTAAAGGGGCAGTCTGGACGAAATGAAGCATTTAACCATTGCTATGTCCAGGGATGGATCTAGCCTACTGTGGGCCTTAAGCAGGATTTATGTTCTTGCTAGCTGATGTCAAATTAGAAGCTAATTTATATCAATGACTACCACAAGCTCTATATATTTATAACTGGCTTATTTGTGCAATGCTGATGAATGGATGCTTGTTTGAGATTCTAATAAGTTATTTTTTTTTAATTACAGATAACTTTCTCAGCATTCTTGATGCAGTGGTCGATCTCTTGTGATACTTGGTTACCCAGAATTTCACCCTGGTTGTTTTTTAAACCATTATATATGCTGTACTTTCTACATATTTAGGCAGTATGATTTCTTTTTCCCTTCTTTGACGACTCCCCCACATGTTTTATG